GCCACATGCGAGCTAGCGTAGATCAGGTCTGCAACCGGGACTCCGTTGAGGTCGACAGGGGGCACCTCGTTATTGGGTGATACATTGTTGTTCTTGCCATGGTGGTCGGATTCAGCATCCACGTTTAGAGGGGCAGCCTTGGAGTTCGACGTTTCAAACTTTAACATGAAATCAAAGATACTCCAAAGAACAAGTGTAAATAGGGTGTGTTGTAGAAGTTTGTATCAAATAGCCACTATTATCTTTAGCCTCACGGTGGGCGCCAAACTGTTTACCCTCAAAATCGGATAACAATTAAATTTATAAGTGGTTTTAAGGATACGCGGATTAATTTGACATAAAGCAATAAATTAGATTAGATTGAACAAGCAAAGACAAAAATAAATTCAAACCACACGCATAGGATAGTTTCACCCTTAGTGAAACCTTTGCCCTCGATTCGGGCTCGCTGTGGCCAGCACTAATGAACAAGAAAAAGAGCTAATAGTAGAGAAAAATAATAAAATATTGCCTTGGAATGCGCGTTACAACGTGTGTTATGAAACATCAGATCCCCTTTATATAGTAGGAGAGTCTCACTCTAGGTACAATTCTTATAAAAGGTAAAAATCATCTAATTAACTGATTGCCGGTTTCCTTTCTATACGTGCCGAGATCCCGCCGTAATATCCAGTCGGTCACAGATATCATGGCCTTCCATTGGCCGCGCTTGATTAACTGACAACGTTCTTCTAAGTTATTCAAGGCTAGAACCGATCCCCGAACCATGACCCCGATATTCTCGAGGGTGGGCGTTATGGTCCCGGACTCCGAATCGATGAGACCTTTACCTCAGTTTCAGCCCCTTGATATCATATCTCGAGCTTGGCTTATCATGTCGGAGATCGAGGTGTATCACGAGATCGGTTTTACCCGTATACACAATTTTAGTTCTACAAATTTATTTATATAATATGTTTAAATTTATTAAACCCTCCTTTCTATGATAATGAAAATGCTAATAAACAACGTAATTTGGGGTTGATTCATAGATTTGAATTTACGGCAGATAATACTATATATGTAAGTATGGAGCTTATTAACTTTGTTTTAATAAAGAAATATGAGTATTATAATATATTAACTCAAACTAAAACCAAAATTACATTAAGGGAACTTAGCTTTTTACCAAGGGTTACATATCTTAAAAAATGTATGGTTTCTTAAGAAAGTATCACGAACACACCAGTTATCACATGTTCAACAAAAGGAAGCACCTAATTCCTTTGATTACTTTCCCGAAGACGAAATGCGGTCAATCTAGATGAAAGTTTGAGTAGTAGTAATAAAACTCAAACCATTGTGTTAGGTCAGCATTTTCCGTATATAACGTGTCCTTTCATTCATTCTTTTCTTTTTTCAAACATCCATCATTGTGATGGGAATTTTAGGCTAGTACCCCAACCTGTATATAGTCAAAAATAAGCAAAACATGGAGGACATAGCCTTTAGCCTCCAATACAAAGTGAAGAATGGAATAGTCTATTCTTGTGTAAATTTGCTCAAAAATAAATCATAGATGTATTCTCCCCCATTACAATTGCCAATAGAAGTAACCAGATTATACCATGTGAAGCTTTAATCACACGATAAAACTCAAAATGAAATTTTCTTTTCTGTCTTATTTCTTTTTTTTGGTGTACTGCATATATATATATATATATATATATATATATATATATATATATATATATATATATATATATATATATATATATATATATATACCAGAAGGAAAATTACATCATTGTTTGGGAGCTGGTGCTCCCTAATGTAAAGTTACCAATGTCTTGACCTACATAATTGTTTACCCTTACATTATGGACAAATACAATTCCTAGGATGTCTGCCCACAGTGCTTTGTTTGCAAACACTGGAGGAACTGTCAAAACTTATGTCCTATCAAAAGCCTTTTTCTCTTCTCCTTCCTTTGCGAGGAGGTCCGCCACCTGAGTTTGTTCCTTGTATTCATGATCAAGTGCTGGATTCCCCAGCTGCTCCATCAAGGAACCGCATTCATGAATAATAGAGTTAAAATGAAAATTACCTTCCTTTAACAATTTGATAACATGTGCAGAGTCAGTCAGTGCAGATTATTAGCGGTGTTAGCATGTGCTGGAGTGCTAGTGTTAGCCCATGTCAAAGGGCATGGATTTCAGCCTCGAGGGTTGTGGTATGAGGTAGGTCTCTCATGTAGCCCAATACCCAGTCGCCCCGGCTATTCCTTACAGCTCCCCCAATTCCCCCTATTCGTGATGTTGGGCATGCTGCCTCATCAATGATGAGTTTGTATGTGCCATTAGGGGGTGGCTTTCATTTTATATGGATCTTCTGTGTATCAATCTTAACCTTAAGATTCACCGCCACATGAGAGTATTTTGTGGCCCTAGCAACGGTCTGTTTGACTGGGACATTGTTCTTTATATTTTTAAAAGGTTGTTATTCCTAGTTATCCATAGCCCCTAGAAGCAGAATGGCGGCAGTGATTTCCAGGTGATAGCACTGTTGAAATGCATGTTCTTGATTCTGTGCCAAGTGTCCTCCCATTGTGACATTGAGAAATTAAGGTGTGTGTGGGAGGATTCATTGGTACATTCCATAGTTAGAGACTTCCAGAATGTCTTAGCATTGGTGCATTCGAAGAAGATGTGGTTGATATCTTCCACTACAGAGGTGCATAGATGGCAATGGGGGTTGACATTTAATCCTATTTTTTCAAGTGCAACGCAGTGGGGAGTCTATTATGTTGCATCATCCAGGTGAAAAATTTGATCTTGTTAGGGAATCTTAGTTTTCAGATCCACCTAAAGGTATCATCTTAGTTAGAAGTGGGGGTGGATGACGAACTAATCAGGTTGTATGCTGATTTTGAGCTGAAAAGCCCATTGCTGGTGGGTTCCAGATCAGCTGTTCCTCAGTGTTAGAGGATGTGGGAATGAAAGTAGATTGAATCACATGCTTGATATCCATGGGAATGGGGTAGTGAATGGCATCAAAGTTCCATTCCCCATTGCTGAGGATATAATTTATCTTGATGGTAAGGTCATCATTCTGCCAAGGCCCCGTGATGATTCTATTGAGGGGTTGCAGATTTGGGATCCAATTATCAGAGAGAATGTTGACTCTATCCCCTTTGTGGACAATCCATCTAGAGGGCTTAAGGAAAACTTTCCATCCTTCTTGGATACACTGCCAAGTCCTAGTTTTTGGCTTGTCTCTAGTTTGGTTTCCACTACAGTGTTTTCAAATCAGGATCTAGCCCATATGGTGCCAGTGTTGTTGTAGAGCCTCCAGGCTAGACTGGTCATGTTAGCTTTCTTTTTTATGTGAGTTTGCTGGATTCTCAGGCCCCCATAGCTTTTGGGCTTGGTAATGGTATCCCATTTGATCATATGAATCTTCTTTTTTTCAGCAGTTGTTCCTCAGATAAAATTCCTTTGGATTCTATCTGTCTGGTTAGAGATGTGGGATGACAGCTTAATGTAGCTCATAACATGGCTGGGAATGCTGCCAAGGCTTGCTTTAGCCAAAGTTGTACGCCCAGCCATGTTCAACATTTTGGTTTTCCAGCCTGCTAGTTTGGAGTTCATACTGTAAAGAATAAATTGGAAGTCTCTAGTAATGGGCCTTTTATGGAAGATTGGGAAACCCAGGTACTTACCAAAATCATTGCTTTTCCTAATTCCTAACAATGAGCTGCGTGTGTTAGCCCAATACTCATGGCAGTTTTTTGAGAAGATAACCTTAGATTTCTGAAAGTTGACCTTTTGGCCTGATACATTATTAAAATCCTCCAAGGTAGTTAGGATAGCTTCATTATTCTTTTTTGTAGCTCTTCCAAACAGAGTGAGATCATCAACAAAAAATAGATGGGAGATTTTTGGGCCATTCCTGCCGATGGTAATTGGGGGCCATTCCTTTGTTAGAACTGTCTGGTGAATGTCTCTTTAAAGCCTTTCCATGCAAATGATGAATAGGTAGGGGGAGATTGGGTCTCCCTGCCTAATGCCCCTTGTGGGGTTGAAAGGTTCGGTTTGACGTCCATTGACCAGGATTGATATGGAAGAGGTGGAGATACAGAAGAGGATCAGATTTGTTAGCTTAAGAGGGAAGTTGAAGAAAAGGATGGAATCCCTGATGAAAGACCACTCAAGTCGGTCAAATACTTTTTCAAGATCAATTTTGAGGATTATGTTAGCATTTTTCCCTTTCATCTTTTGTAAATGGGTGATGTATTTCTGAACAATAATGCCATTATCTGAAGCCCTCCTGTTAGAGAGGAAACTTGCCAGAGATGTCCCTATAATAGTATGAAGGATAGGTTTGATCCTTTTAACTATTATTTTAGTGACCGGTTTATACTTAGTGTTGCACAACCCTATGGGTATAAAGCTCTTTAGAAGGGTAGCATTCTGGCATTTAGGAATCAAACACAGGAGAGTTCTGTTAACTTCAAATGGCATGGTTGAGGTGGTAAAGACTTTGTGGCGAAATTGGTTGACTTGGGTTGATAGGATAGACCAGTATTTTTGGTAGAAAAATGGGTGCAGCCCATCAGGACCATGTGCCTTGAGTGGTTTGAAAGAGTTCATGGATACTTTAATTTTAGAGGTTCTAAGTGGTTGATCTGGGGTCTCTCTCATGCTGTCAGTTAGGATTTGAGGAGTATTCTCACTGTGAACTCTCTTACAGGTGGATGAAGTGTGGGATGTGGTGAAGAGATTCTGAAAAAAGGATCTGGTAGCCTTCTTGATGAGTTTAGGGTCTGTGATTTGGTTACCCACCTCATCAATCAATCTAAGGATCCTATTCCTCCTCCTTCTGTTAAGAGTGGTGGTGTGGAAGAATTTGGTGTTGGCATCACCTTGACAAAGCCAATCGACTCTTGATTTCAGCTTCCAGAAGTCTTCCTCATTTTGGAGGATTGCTGAATATTTAGCTTGAAGATTGGATTCTATATTTTACAAGAAGGAGCTGAAAGGGTAAGCACTAGCTTTTTGAATGCCATTCAGTCTAGCTAAAATGTGCTTCTTTTTATGGAAGATGTTACCAAACACTAACTTGTTCCATGTGGTCGCATTTGACTTAAAAGTGTTGGTAGCTTCCAACAGGTCATTTGTGGAGGTGAAGCTGGTGTGCACGATGTTTTGAAAGTCAGGGTGACCACACCACATTGTCTCCACCCTAAATGGTCTACATTGATCATTGAGCTGGGTACTAGAGATGCTTAAAAGAAGAGCACAGTGGTTAGAGTGGGTCCTGGGAAGGTGGGTGACTGAGGCTTCTGGAAAAGACTTAATCCAATCCTCAATGGCAATGCACGTATCCAACTTCTCAAGGATAAGGTCCTGCCTGTTGGTGTACCTTTTGTTGGACCACGTATATTTTGAGCCTTTGAAGCCCAGGTCAACTAATTTACAGTGGTTCAGGCAGCTCCAGAAATGGTTACTACTATTAGTACTAAGGTTATTTCCCCCATGCTTATCTCTAGCTTTTAGGACTTCATTGAAGTCCCCTCCAACAAGCCAACTACCTTTACAGATAGAGGCCATATCTTAAAGGGCTTGCCATAATCTAATTCTATCCTGTAAGCATGGGCTAGCATAGATAGTAGAGAAAAGCCACTTAGGGTGATTGAGGCTAACCTTGATCATTGCATGCACACCCTGGGGAGTGGTACAGACCTCTTCAAGCGTAACTAGGTCTTCTTTCCACATCACCACAATTCCTCCTGATTGGCCAACAACAGGGGATCAGAATTGAGCTAAAAATTGAAGCTCAGCAGTTAAGTGCGTGCGATCAGCCATTCTTATCTCCAGGAGGACAAGGACTGCCGGCTTGTGCAGTTTCACCATAGAGGTGCAGCGTCTACGGAATTCAGCACTTTTGGCCGCTCTCACATTCCATATTAAGAAGTTCATCAACAACTAGTTTTGAGTTGGGGTCTTCCTCTTGAGTCCCTTCCCCTTTCCCACCGGCGTTGGTTTCACTCCTCCCATTACAGGGCTTGTTACAACTGCTGAGTTCCCTAAGCTTGGAGATGATGGAGCTTGGAGATTTAGCTTGCAACTTACTAGCTTTCTGGGGCAGAAAGCAATAAGCATTTCTCCGTACTGCTCTTTGAACTCGATCACCATTTCCTCTTGCATGAGGAGGACTGATGTTTTTGGGACTCCTAGCTTTTCCAAGATGTTTTCTAAGTCTGCGTTGGATTTCTTTAGATAGCCCAGGGTTTGGTTCTTCTCCTTTATTAGCAGGTCCATAGCTGCATTCTGATTTAATAGAGGGGGAGTTTGTGGATTCACTGTTGTGGGAGTGGGTTGGTTCACTTGGGGACACATTGTGAAGGTTGGTGAATGGAAGGGACTGCTCAGATCCATCAGAGGAGAAAGGCATTGTTTGGCATAGCTGGCCCATGAGAAAGTTAAGCTCTTCCACTGAGAGGGGTTGTTGAGTTCTCATGTACTAGGCTTGGAGAAGTGTGGATTGCCATAGCTGGTGTCCAAAGTTGGACAGACCTTGATGCAGTAGATGGGTTGCTAGTCGTGCCAAGTAACAAGGTCCTGAATGGTGATGGAGATGGGTACTGGACCAACCATCATGTCTAGAATTTGAGAGTAGCCTTGCAGAGCCATCTCCATCCACGACTCTAGCATGAAGTTGGGTGGTAAGGGGATGGTGGACATGGTCAGAGGGTGGTTATTTGGTGGAGGGTTTGGGTTGCTTGGAGTTGACATTGAGAGGAGATTTTTAGGGATGTTCTCCAGTTGAGCTAGGGAGAGAAGACATCTCTTCAGTTGTCTTGGTATAAACCGTTTGGAGGCTATTGGGATTCGTGAATTGTCGATTGAGATCTTTGCTCAATCTTGGGGGAATGACACTGAGTGTCACTTCACTGATGAGCAAATGAGATCGATTTCCCCTAGGCAATGGATTTCCTCTATCGAGAGGTGTATAGACGTGGTGGGTTTGATCAGAGTTTGAGTGTGGGTTTGGGAGAGAGAGTGGTTGGGTTGTTGGGCTGGATGGCTGGTGCACTGTAGAGTGATTATTAGGGGGATTTGATGTCAGGGTATAATTACCCAAATTTGGGTAAATGTCGAGATCAGAGATACTATTCAATTTGGGGGGGGGGGGGGATTAGCCAAATTGCTGGTAGGCTCCATCCCTACCCCTTGATTCTGACACACCTTTTCCCCTTTACCATTACACACGCCTTTAATCCCAGGGGAGGGAACTTTGGTCAACGTTGCATTGGCATCGAAATGCCTTTTTAGCCCAAAGATTCGTGAGATTGGGCTGGCGTGTGTTTGGCTTCTAGGTTGTATAGATGATGAGCCGCTGTGGTTCAGGCCCAAATTTGTGGCCTCTATAGCCAAATTTGGCATCATGGATAGAGTGCCCAGCGGGCCCATAGTATCTGTAATTTGGGCTTTGTGGAGTGGCAGTCCATTGGGCCTTAAAGCATCTACTGACCATTTGTGTTTAGGGTTTCAGTTGTCGGAATCTGTGCCTGAAAAATTTTTGGGGTCAAGGGACTTACCTGAGGAGGCATCAAACCTCTTTACCTGGGGGTTGCTTTGGGTGGCCTTGTGGGTTTGGTGTCTGTGTTTTGAGAAGGTGACTGTGCGCCATTCAGAGATCTGATCCTTTGGGTTGTCCTCGCCGTTGGTGCCGCTGGTCAGCTTTCCTTGAGTTACTGTTGTTCGGAATTCACAGCTTCTCAGGGTATGGCCAATTCTCCCACACCCCATACAGAGAATCCCTTCCCCTTCGTAAACTAGTGCTTGGTTGTGGGTGCCGATAATGACTTTTGTTATCACCGGGATATCTAGAAGAACCTGGACACAAATTCTTGCATATCTTCCTCTTAGGGCGGAGGAAGTGCATGTATCAATCTTCAGGATCTAGCCCACTGTGTTGCCTACTTGTTCTAGAATGGTTGTATCATAGAATTTCATAGGCAATTATGGGAGTTTGATCCATACCGCCGTTAAGGCAAGCTTGGATTCTGCTGGAACAAAATTTGGTTCCCATCTGCGGATTGACAGGAAGTGCCCTACCACAAACCAAGGGCCCTCACTTAGAACTTTACTCATGCTCTTCTTTGTATTGAATTTTGCGATGAAGAACTCGCATCCTAGGTCAATTAGGGTAAAGGGTTCTTCTAATTTTCATAGACTGGAGAGTTTGGCCTTGAGTAGGTGATGTGGGATTTTTCCCCCAAACAGTTTGATGATCAAGGAGTGTTTCCAAGGTTTATACAGTCTAATTTTGTCCTCAATAGACAGAGGGATCGGTATGTTTTCCGAATTTAGTTCAAAAGCTTGTGTAAGGCCACTGGATTGAAGCAGGTCATAGCTTGAAGAAGATGCAAGATTCTTGTCCAGTAGGACTTCTTTGAAGGAGATTGGTTCTGATTTGTCCTCCTCCATAGCATTGGTTGACAACATTTGTGGTATATCTGGAGGTTCCGGTGACTTTCCGATGGGCAGGGGGAGCGCTGGAGGGGGTAGGGATGTGGCCATGCCTGATTGGCTGGGGGTTAGTGTTTAGTTAGAGAGATGTTGGTCTTTTTCCCTCATACGATCCCTTTTTTATCTTATTTCCTCTGATTTTTAAAGTTGAAGAGAGAATACTCAATTTATATATATCAGTGTTCATATTTGGTCTCTAAAATGTAAGAATTTATTTTGTAACTAAAATTTCATGAGATAAGAAAGGAATGTAACTGTAAGAAAAAAGCTTTTGTAAAACATAAAAACAGATTACCTATGGGCCACGGTAAATTTATAGGGGAAACTATGAGGCACGTGATTTCATGATCTTTTCGCAAAATAAATTGGTATAATATTAACTGTTGCCGCTCATGCTTCAAGAAGGTTGAATGATACACTTGGTTGAAGGTTGAATTATTTACCAAAAGGAATATAGATCACTTCCCACTTAATGCATGATTTCCTCCTTTTTCTTTAGTAGTGCACCTATGTACTAAAAATCATAGATCCGCCTTTGATTACCTATTATTCCTCTCAAATGAGCAATAAAAGGAATAGTGACTTCATAGCTATAAGGATAGCGATAGGAAAATACTTACCCGCACCGGGTGTTTACACCAAAAACCGATAGATATATGACATGTGTCTTGCATATGGACTTCAATCATTTAACCATGGTAAATTACATGCATTCTCATCTAATTAAATTAATTAACCATAGTGAGTTAATATAGTTTGGTGTAAACACCCGGTGTGAGTAAGTATTTTCCTATCGCTATCCTTATCCCAAAAACCACCTTGCAACCTCAGATATAAGGTAAGACTTTGTATTGATTGTGAAAAATAAACATAGTATAAAAATCAATCGAGGTACCTATACATGAGCAATTTATTAAAATATACCTACCATTTTCCTTTAGCCATTTCCATAAGTATATTCCTACTTCCCGTTCCGCTATTTGTGACATCTATATTCTATTCTGCATCCCAAACAATATAGTTTCTATTATTTATTTATTTATTTATATAGAAATGAGCAAGGGTGGATGAACACTGCTTACTTGATTGTACAAATAGCATGAAAAGTTGTATGTTCGAAATTGTAGATCTTGTAATTGGATCTTCATCTCAATACGTGTTCTCGGTTTTCTATAAGCATGTGTACTGCCTTTTCCTTTTCCACTTACTGAACATCCTTTTGTTCATTAAGGAATCCCAATTCCCATCACCTTCTTCTTCTATCAGTACGTCTCTCCCTCCCCCTCTCTCTCGGTTACTTTCATCTTCTCTATTACTAAATTTCTTTGCAAAAGTTCCTGAATCCTCTTTGTTCCAAATTAGCCTACGGTTGTGGATCACATCTTCGTAAGCTCTTCTTCGATGTATGCATCCTTTTAAAGGTTTTTCATTTAGTTCTAATTTGGTTATGTTTCTCATTTTTTATAAGTTTTCTCCATGTTTCCTTCTTCAATATACCCAATTGTTGTGTAATGGAACTTTGGTGGTATCTATTTGCTTTTTTCATATTCTTGGATAGCTTTTTGTTGGATTTTTTACATACGCATATCAGTAATTATATCTGATTTGCACATGCATATTTAAAAATAGATACCTAGGTGCATTATTTTGGATATTTGATGAATGAAAATCTGGAACTTCTGGGTAATCAAATCTAATTAGTTTTTTCCTCTTCAGATATTCTCAGAATAGATTATATTGAAATTTGAGTAACGTTCTGTTCTTTTTCTCTTTAATGATTAGTCAAGCGTTGTTCATTTCACTGAGTGTTCAAATCTGGTTGTGAGAGTGAACTTTTTTGAGTATGATAGTTCATTTTAAGTGAAGTATGCTTTATAGAATGTGCTTTTATTAGTTTTTTCATACTTAAGCAGGTAGTTCTGGAAAGTAAATTATTTTCTTCTGCTTTTTTTTCTTGCTTGCAAATACTTTGGGTAGTATTCATATTAGCGAGTAACAGTATTACATCATTATGCACACTAATACATCCAATGTGTTTGGAATACTTTTTTTTTTTTTACTCTTTTTCTTCTTTTACAGGTCCTACAGCCCAAAATGTAAACTATCTATTTCTTGGACGGTATTGGTATGTGTATGTGCGACCTATATTGTTGACATATTCGATTTGCTTGCATGTGTATTTTTAATGCACTATTACTACTATTTGTCAATATTGGCACTAATAAGAATATTTAGATATATAAATTATAGCTTTTCAAAATTATACCAAATTATAGACATCGACTCAACCAAATTATAGAGTACCTGAAATGAAATGACCATAATCCAGGATACTACAAATTGGAGTGTGATGTTCGGTTTATGCCTTTGCATTTTACATAATATCTTTTCTCAAAGTTCATGTGTATTCTCTCCATTAAAAGTGGAAACCGATATTTCATTACAGTGAAACCTGCTCATGTTTCTTTTATTTGCATTCCTTTTCTCGCTTCACCTTCTTCTTCCATTAGCTTTTTATTCTTTCTGGCTTTGTTGGGTTTTTTTTTTGTTTTATTTTGGTTGGTTCTATGCGTTGCTACTATAGTTTTTTTATTAGTTTAGGCCTATTTTACTTCTATGTGGTGTGAAATGTGTCGCATTGTTTGAGTTTTGTAGCTGTGGTCTTACTCATGTAATATAACAACTTAAACTTAGTTTAAGTGCTATTTGCATTGTCAATTACTGATTTTGATAGCTAATCAATGTATTCTTAATTTTTTGAACATGAATTAATGATATTCTTGACTCTTGGTCTTTACAGCAGAGGGTGAGAGCTAAGCGAAATTGAGGACCTGGAAGAGGGAAGAAAAGAAGATAAGAAAAACAAGAAGTAGAGAAATAAGGATAAAACCAGAACTATTCAACAAATAAAGCCGAAAGAAATGTAGCAAAGAAGTCTTGCTTTGTGAGTCTTCTTTTCCGCTAAGCAGCTAAAACACATGCATGTCTCCTACCTTGACAGATTGAGCTTACTTGTTTCTCAAATTTATCCCAAAAATAGATTTGTCTGTGTTCTATAGCAACATATAAAGTTATACATGAAATGAAGGATTCATAATTTGCTTATTTAGAATTACAAAGAACATACTTTTATAATTCACAGACGTAGTTGACTCTTCTTCTTTTGCTCTATTTATTTTGAGAAAAATGTTCTTTGCTGCCCTTGACAGATTGTAATTGTCCCTTCAGAATAATTTAGGAACTAAAGTGGAACAATATGTTCATTCTCACTATGCTATAGTTCTTCACCACAGAATAAATGAAAATTTTATATGTATTGTCCTCTCAGAAAAGCTTATAGTTGCATTAACTCTTTCAAATGTAAACAAAATCATATTGTATGTGACATTTTGAAAAAGAAGAATTATGGTTGAGATGTGAAATACAATTAGGAGGAATGCGTAAGACCATTTTGAACTAATTAGATATGATAGAAACTGTCGGCATATTTAGGTTATTGTGTCGTCTTAGCATAAATCAATTTCTTGCAGGCTTAAACTGTAAAAAGTAGCTTTAAGGGATTATATTTTGCTGTAGGTTTACTACCAATTGCATAGAGAAGTCTAATAAATACTGTTGTAAGTACTTTCTAAAGGTTGTCTCCAAATAGAAGGAATTGCAGTTCATCTGCATTACCTGCTCATCTATGTTATAGTCATAAAAGCAATTAGCTTTGACAGGATTTTTAAATGTACTTTTCTGGAGAAAATGACTACCACAAAAATGGTTGTAGATTCTGGCAAGTAGTTGCAATTTCTCCCGATAATAACCAAAGGGCCAAATGATAGTAAACTACAATATATGTGCATTATTTCTATGCATATGTGACGACGTGTTGAAAAAAGTTTGTTTCTACATCTATCCCGATATTAAGCTTCGTCTATTTGTCAAACAGAAAAACAATTTGCTAAAATCACCTTTGCAATATCCAACAATCAAGAAAATTAATTTTGCGTGTGAAAGAAATTGAATTTATGAGATGTAACTGAGGGGAGATTTATTAGTTTTAGTTATCTAGAGCATCAGTTGCACTTAATATTGTTAGCCAACTTATTTATGAAATTTAACTGTTATGTTTATACCTACTTTAAAATAATATTTCCTAAATCTTCTTCATGAACAGATTTATGTGCAGTGTTTCAGTTGTAAGATGTCCTCTTTGTTGAGCTTTCGGAAACTTTCTGTCAAAAAAGATGTACATAATCCAATCAGGGAACTAAATGGTATAGTGAACAATAAGCATGTGCAGATTATGTGCCTGTCTTGGTGGACGCATTAGCATGCCTTATTGTTGACTTGAATTTGACATGGCACTCCGTTTGAGTGTGCTCTTTGGACAAAGTAATTTTTGATTTCGAAAATGACGGAGAGTGCAGTAGTTCCAAATTTTCCTTTTTGCTTGGTCATTCTTCCATTGCTCAACTATATATTTATTTATTAAGTATTTATAATTTGGATTTGATCAGTGATTGTTGCTCAACTACTTATGTTCTGCCGTTTTGTTAGTAATAGATGATCCAGCAATATTCCTTTACTTTTGAAATAAAAATTGTGTTTGTTTACAACATTATTCTGGAGTGGTGACTACTTAGAGTTGAGATCTCAAAAGTGATTTACTGGATCAGTTGACCCATTGCTTTCTTTTATGGGCCAAGTGCAAGTAGAAACCAGTTACACTTCACATTGTTGCCTAATGATGTGTTTATTTTTGGAGTTTTATTTTATCAAATTCAAAACTTTCTTTATAACAACAACATTAACGATTAGGCCTGTGCACAATACGGGGTATCAAGGGTTTTACAGTTTGATGGAAAGCGATTTTCGTCGAAGACAAGAATACCACTTGTGGATCAAACAATACATAGTTGTGATGCAGCAGAAAGGCTTTCAACTCCACTTAGTTTGAATAGATATGATAAATATCTCATAGTAATTTCTCTGATTTGTAACGTTATCATTTAATTCAAAGTAACTTGCTTTAATTGTTGCAGCCCCCTCTTTAATTTTGTTCTGAAGTTCAGAATTTATACATAATTGTTGTATGCTCTTTTGTAACAGAATCTTTTGGAAACAAGACTGTGGGATCATGATACCATCTACTTAATCAACTCTTCCATTGATAAGCTGTTGCAGTCAATTTGGAATCTGCAGAAAAAACTGATAATGGCATAGTAGCTCGGTGAGTTTTTAGATCTCTTTTCCTGTAAGATACAGTAGACTAATATCTCCCAAGGTGATCTTATTCTTCTCCCGACTTCTACTTTCATTTAAAGCAAGCAATTGTCCCACGGGAACTACTGTTAAGCACCGTGAACTCCAAGACTTAAACATTAGCATTTGATAAACCCCTGGTGTCCTTTGTTCATATTATATTATGGAAAGAACTATTAGTGCCTATGTCTCCAGGATATTATATGCATCGTTGGTTTTCAGTAAATAAAAAGATCAATGCAAATTCTGTGTTTGAAGAAATACTATAGCTGTCTCTGGTTTGATGTTGATTCTATATGGTGGAACTGTCTCAAAGGCAAAGGGCTGAGCTTCTGTCTTTTCATCTAATCATCCTAAATCCTGAAGAGAAATTTGTACAGGAGTTAATGGCCTTGTAGATTGATCCATTTACATCTTCTCAGTGTCCATATTAAATTATCTATTGTTTTAATGGACAATATAGCTTACGTTAATCATGCAGTTTTACTTCCATTTAAGCCATGTGTTGTAGCAGCACCACCAAGTCTTCGGGCAAATGAAAGAAAGTTGTCTAGACCGTACTGAGTTGAGCAAGATATGCAATATCAACCTGTAAGACAAAGCTACTTAATAACATAATGCAGAAAGTGGGACAAGCCTGCAAACCCAAAAGCATGGTAAAAAAAAGATGGGAGTAACTGAGTCTCTCGATTAGTTGTTCGAGAGGCACCGTCCTTGCTCTTTTTTTTTTGTTGCCTTTTTTGCACATTTTGTAAAGAAAACAACAACATTATGCCCGTGCTGCATAGAAAAATCTTTTGACTATAATTATTTATTTTGATTATAATACAAAGCGATGTGTTTATTATTGACAGTAAATAACATGTTAATATTGGTCGAGTCGGTGTCGGGCCCGTGCGTCGCACGGGCATCATCCCTCTAGTTATTTTACAAATTAGAAAAACTGATGCCCGTAAAAGTTAGAGAATACTTAATTACCTGGCCACCTTCTTACACACATGCTAAAACTTATTGCAACAGGAAAGATTCTTTTAAATTTGTTTACTCCAAAAATGAGTAACAATTAAATTTATACGCGGTTTAAAGGATACGCGATTTAAATCAATACGAATAATTAAGAATAACAGATAAATGAATTAAAGACAAAATAAACGATCAAACCAATTGCAATGCAATGACTAAGCCTAATCTTAGATTGAACATTGAATTCGCCCTCGATCCGACCCTTGGCGTAAGCTCGGTTGTGAGTAAAGAAAAGAACAAACAAGTAATGCCTTTAATATTTGCTAGAAGACAAAAGTAAATTTTCTTATTGCTTTGAATTGCGTGCTACAATGTGTCAGAGTAAAGAAAAAATTTCCCTTTATTCTCTCAACGGAAGATTGGGGCAGACATTGCCCCCGGTTTTACCCGTACACCGATAGTCCCCTCGTTTTCGGGAGGGTAGATTTATCGAAGCTACAGAAAGCGATAAATGAATCATGGTTCCTTCCTTCGTACGTTATAACTGAGTTGACGGGTTAACGAAACGTCTCATCAGTCGTGTCGTTCTGACTTCGGACACGTGTCAGCCGCCCGATTGACTGTCCTCGAATGCGAAACGTCACGCATTGATTATCCTTCCTCTATAAAAACTCCGACCCCTTTCTCACGTTTCTATTTTCCGATTCTAGAGCTTTTTGATTTACCGTCGAATTACCCACTTAACTTTAACCTCTTCAAATCTTCATACATTGCTCCTTAGATCTTAATATCTTCATCTTCAAATCTTCATTATTCCTCATTGAATCTTCCACCCAGATCTTCATACCTTCATCTCATATTCAAATCTTCATATATCATTCTTCAAACCTTCATATTCTCCGGAGCCCAATGGGAAAACCTTCCAAATTCGTGCCCGAGCAAACCGCCCTTCATTTTCCAACCCGACCACAGATGTTGAGGTGGCCATTCCCGAGGTGGCCTAAGAGCCTCCTTTTGAAGAGTTTCGTCTCTGGGGGCTACTTTATTGAGAACGACTTCAATGTCGAGAAGGGCTTCAGTCAACGTGGACCGAGGCGAGAGAACATGGAGGCTCCTGTAAAAGGCTCTATTGAGTTATCCGTGCAGATCCGAATATTGATATTATAGCACGTGAGTTGTCCGTGCAACACGTGAGTTGTCGTGTGGTTGATATTATTAGCACGTGAGTGTCCGTACAACACGTGAGTTTTCCGTACAACGTATGGATACGGGTCCATTTCCCTAGGGTCACCCTCTCATTTTTCTCTCTTGAGGGTATACACGTGGATTGTGAGAAATCGACGGGTTTGTGGTTGATGTGAACTCTGGGAGAACTGGTTTTGTTATTGGATCGGGTTGCACGCCGTAACAGACTAATATGTGGTTATTGCATTTCATCTTTACTTGCAATTTTCTTGACTGTTTACCTGATTTACTTGCATATCTTCTTATATGCCGGATTGATGACTGAGCAGAACACTTTAAACAAAGAATTTTGAGCATCAAGGTGGTTTTACCTGAGATTCCTTATTTGATCGTATATTTGCTCTATACTTGTTGAAATTATGAACTGTACATGTGTACTGCACTTTTGCACCTTGCGTGCAGATCTTGGAGTTGATGTTGTTATGTATGGCGTGAGCTGGCACTGATGATGTATCCACATTCCAGTTATGGCCATCACTTCTCCTTGGTAGCTTTAGATTCGAATTCTGGTCATGTACATTTCAAATAGATATTGTATTTATTTCATTTCAGTTTTGTAAATCTAAGTCTTAGTAACTCATGACTTTTACTACCAGTCCTTGGGGAATTGTATAAAATTTAGTTATTTCATTTTTGACTCTTTATCATTATCATTATATTGTGTTTTATTGTTATTTGGCTTACATAGCGTGTTGGGTTAGGTGCCATCACGATGGGTTGGATTTTGGGTTGTGACAATTCAACTTCAAGAATAAACTTCTTGAATTCAAGAAACTCTTTCTTGGATTCAATCTATCTTTTATTTCTGTCTTCTTTTTCGTTTCCTTATTTTCTTTTAGCTTCCTCACGTTTCTTGATTATTTTGTTTTTCTTTAGTAAATCTTAGACCCCTATCTTGTTGTTATCGCACTTGCACCATCTTAAGTTATAACTAAACAATTATTAGACGTATTACGACAATATTGTTTCGAACAATTTACTGGTCCAGTTACTTGAGTACTTAATTTGGTAATGAATTTAAATTAAATATTTTTTTTGTATTACCAATGTAGTTTAACTTGTAATATACTGTATTATAAGTGACGTGATTGTGCAAAATATTTTATATATCTCCAGTGCATAGATGCTTGTAACTAATATGTGCTGAAATCTTCAGAACTCTTATTTACATGTAAAATTAAAAAATTCCGTAGACTTTCCTTTTCTGAAAGTTAAAGAGAAAACCTTAATCTACATATTTAAATGTTCAATTGTTGGCTAGAATTTTGTAGTCTCAAAGTGCCTCATATTTACAACAGCAGCCGAATTTTCAAGGTTGGGACTTTCCTGTATTTTGTCCTCTGGAAAAGCTTGTTGTTGCACTATTAAGACTGATACCTCATAACTTGTGTCTGAAGAAGCCAACATGTCCCCTATAAACCCTAATTCTGGAAACTCACTCCATTCTCTTAGTCCTCCTAACAATGCTGAGTTACTATCATTGTGTCTCCCTACTATGATCAAGTCAAAACAATTTTCCATTTTTCTAATTACACTAACAACTCCTACACTATCTTTTACCTCTTCTTCTTCGTAAATGCATAATTTCTTGTTCATGTTAGCTTCTCTAAATGCATTGATGGCTTCTGCATCTTTTACCATGTCTTGTGTGTAGTTGAACTTGTCCAATTTCTTAGGTTCTATTAACCGGACAACTGTCACTCCAACGTTGGGATGTATAGCCATCCGATTAGCATAGGCTAATGCTTCTCGATCGTCCTGCCCGCCAATGAAAAGGACACCAATGCTATAGACATTTGTCATTGTTGATAGAGGTGTGTTTGTGCTGCTAGTGCTGCGATCAATGAATACACCGACAGAACATGGTGCCGTTGTTAGAATCTTACGGTTCACATTCCTAATGCAATTTTCCTCTACATCTGAAGTGTGGACAGCCCAGTGTTTATGAAAGGGTAAAACAACAAAGGCGGCTCTTTTGTCCATAGCTAGGTGACAGACATCATTGTGCATTGTTGCATAGGGAGAAATGGCAGAAAAGGGGTAAAATGTGATGTTTCCGTGACTTTGCTTCTCGTATAACCTCAGAGCATTTATGATGTGATCTGATTCTTGCAGTGTAGTTTCTTTCTTTCCACGGTGATGAGCCACTATTGTTGGTGTAGCTCTGCCTCTGAGGTCAATTAAGTGGACGACATAGAAGCAAACAGGGTTATGTGGATTCGGGTACGTGGCCTCGAGTAGCTTGATGATTGAAGGTGTATGTTCTTGATGATGAAGGCAAGCGAGCAATCGAAGTTCATCTGTGAGTTTTGTGTCTTCCATTGTCCTCCTCTTGCATGTGGCGTACATTCTGGATGGATTATATATATATTTTATGACTGGGGAAAAAACTCCAGCAAAGATGATAATGGACAACAACATAATTGTATATGATTCATGATCAATTAGCTGCAAACATAATTAATACAGGTTATCACATGAGCTAGCATTCATAAAAACTTTGAATATTATGTTTGATAAAAAAAAAAAAGACCGTACATTAATGTAAACGGCTCGTTGTAGAATGACAACATCGGTGATTCCTTGGCAGCTGAGGACGACGCCTAGGCAAAATGCATCTCTTTTGGGCATTCTGGAGAGGAGACATGGTATCATTGTCGCGACTACCTTAGAGAGGAAAGAGAATACAGCCAATGTCTCAATGATACCGAAATGCCTCCATGTTATCACCGAGAAGTCAAGCTTCGTACCACTGATTACAACGTAGAGCGGAAGGAGGACATAAGAGATGAAGCTGTCAAGCTTAGCTATCAAGGCGGAACCTATAGGCGGTCCATCAGGTATAGCCAGGCCTAAAATCATCGGTCCAAATAGAAAATGTTGCCCAACAATTTCACCAAAAAGTGCACTAGCCATCACCATTATGAATATCGCGAAAATGTGGTTCTCACCGACTGATTTCTTACCCTCGGATCGTCTGGCCATCCTCTGGACCAGAGGACGGACGAGACAACCAAGAAGGATGAACATGATGGCTACAAAGAAGAACATTAGTAACAAACTCCCCTTTTTGTGTTCTCCAATACTCTGCTTTCCGGTGAATATGATGCTGATCCAGAACCACGCGCACGTTCCACTAATCATGGACGACGATAAAGCAATCTTACCTATCTCCGAATTCAGTAGCTTCAGATCAGTTAAGAGACAATTGGTTACATGGAAGGAACTCATGGATTGCAATGAGGCAACCCAAAGCAATGATCTGTGGATTCTCTGTTCCAGGGCAAGTGAATGTAAGAAACATTGAGAAATTATAAAGCAAAGTAATAAGGGGAATAAGAAGGTAGCTAGGCCTATGATCACTGCCCTCCTTCCTGTATTCCAAAGCATATTCAAATCCATTTTCACTCCCACCAGGAACAAAAACAGCATTAAACCAAAGTAGGCTAAGGTGTCCATCACATAGAAACTTTCAGGTAAGAAAAATGCCTCCCTGATTGAATGGTCCGATCCAATGATTGAAGGCCCCATTACAAATCCTACCTAAAGAAAACACATTTATAGTAATATTTGAATGTGTATGTGTGTGTGTATAAATATAGAAGAGAAAAATAGGAATTAAAGTTGGCGTACCAGCATCTGGGACACAAAATTGGTTACCCCAAGAGGGGCAAGAAAGAACTGGAAAAGAGAAGTAAAAATGCCACAGAGAGAAATTTGAGCCAAAACCATGGGATTCACGAAGTTTAATGGATCATCACCAAAGAAAACCCCTCTGTTGATTCCATAATGCTTCGTTAAGAAACAAATTGTACTAGTCTCATTAAAGTCGTTACTGTCCATTGTTACAAGAAGAAATAAGGTTAAGCTTCTGAATTTTATTGCTTTAGGACAATCATACTGTCTATGAGAATGTTTATTCGGGAATGAATGAACAGGAGGAACAAGCGGACCGATTGATCAAGAAATCTTTTATCTAATCTAATTATGTTGTTAAATTTTTGAGTGTTTAATGTTATTTGGTAAGCTTAATAAAGGGCCATCCAAGTTGTAAAATAACTGCATTCTTCATGGAAAGATAAGTGGTGGATATACATAATTCTTCTCGTCTGAGGTGGGAAACAAAAATTGGCTGCTGAGTCTTCGGAACTCAGATAAAAGAAGTGACTTTTAAGCAAAGTGCTTATAGTACTTTTTAAGTGTTGAAATGAAACTAGTTTTATAAATAAGTAGTTACATTAGATTTTAATAATATCTAATTTTAGTAAATTTGAATTGAATACTAAATCCATCAAGGTTAAGAAAAATTATCTCCGATGATGGGACTTTCCATATATTCTTTTGCGGTAAAAAGGATATACTAATAACGGTTTAGGATACCAAACAATAATCAAAAAGAAAAAAGAAAAAAAAAGAAAGAGAAATAGATAGTATTTCGGAAAAAATATAAATCTATAGTCACGACCCAAAATCCAATACAAGCCGTATGGCGACCAATGTCGCCGTTAGGCAAGCCAACACTTAATTATTCATTTTATTATTTTCAAAATTACGAATCTTATTTAGATAGAGAGGCCAGTGCATTAAAATAGATCGTCGTTACGTACAATTTAATTAAAAATAATAAGTAAAAGTGTATCAATGTAAACAAATCCATAACTATTCTAGAACATCCCCAAAATCCGGTGTTACAAGTGCATGAGCATCTACTAGAAGGTACAATAACAATACAACATATGTCTGGAATACAAGTTAGACAGAAAAATGTAAATAATTCTGATGGAGACTCTGTATACTGCGGATCGTAAGATGAGATGCAGCTCACCGTAAAGTCCCCGCAATAGCTGCGCCTTTGCGCCCAAAGGACCACAAGAAATATATACATGCACAATAAGTGTAGAAGTGTAGCATGAGTACGTAAATCAACGCGTACCCAGTAAGTATCTAGCCTAACCCCAGAAAAGTAGTAACGAGGGATCGGCATCGACACCTACTAGTGGTCCAATAAACGAAGTACAATAGAAAGTAAACAAGTGTGAGGCATGGTAAATAAATAGTGTAAGAAAATATAGGTACGTGGTACGATCCTCCAATGAACGGTAAACACTAGCTCTTAATTATCGGATACCTCCTCAACCGGAGTATATATATAAAATGGTCCCCACCAGATATGTCGTCACAACTCAAATCAGGAAAACTCACGGATACACTGGCTTCTTGTTATATATTACGCACGATTCTGCCGAGGTGAACGGTCCGATCCCATAAGAGTATTTCATGATGTTGCCGAGGCGAACGGCCCGATCCTATAGAAGTGTTTTATAAAACGTCGAGGCGAACGGCCCAATTCCATAAGAATGTGATACATGATACTGCCCAGGCGAACAGCCCGATCCTGTGAGCACGTGATTTTTGCCTCGCTTGAATTATTCCTAGAGAATACATAAAATTAGGATTTTTCCTTTAATAATTCGATTTTTAGGATTTGATTGCATAGTTTTGTGTTTGTTTGCATTTTTATGTGCATTTTTAGTTGGTATAATTCATAAAAAATACAAAAATATAGTACCTTTGCATTTAGGACTCCATTTTATATTTTTAGTTTTATTAGTTAATTAATATTAAAAAATAAGAGAAAATAACAAAAATAGTCATGTTGTATTTTTACTTAAGTTTTCTTTTTAAAATTAGGACTTGGTTAATTTTTTGAAATTAATTAGTTTAATTCTAGATTTAAAATCAGGTCTTTGTTCATAAAATGAATAATAACAATAAGAAAAAAAAAGAAAAATGCAAAAATAGAGGTCTTATTAAAGACCCATGTTTTGGGCCAAATGTGATTCAAGCCCAAATCAAAACCCCTTAATCAACCCCAACCCGTCCAGCCCAGTCCAACTCGAGCTCCCAACCCGGTCCAACCTTTTTATGCTCAAAACGACGCCGTTTCGCCTATTTTAATCACGACCGTTGGATCTCGTCAATCCAACGGTCCGGAACTGATGAGGATTAGGGTATAAAAGTGTCGGAAGCCCCCCTTACCCCCTCACTCGTCTCTCTCGAACCCCCCTCTCTCAAGAACCCTAATCCCGCCGCCCCTTTTTCCACCGTCTCCCCCTGGCGGCGCCGCCTCTGATGGCCGCCAAATTAACACCACAACCTCCTCTCCTCCTCCCCTTTCCAAATCCGGCCCCCGTTTCCCTCAAAACACGCCCAAACCCCNTTGTTAACTAAAAATCGCCTATACTAATGTCAGTATGCCGTACGGTGTACTTGTATTCTATGCCTACCTACCAACAGAACTCCATCCGATGTCAGCACCTTGGCCATTTGTTGCTTGGGGTATGGATGTCATTGGGCCGATCGAGCCAAAAGCTTCGAATGGGCATAGATTTATATTGGTGGCAATTGACTATTTCACAAAATGGGTTGAGGCCATCACTCTCAAGTCGGTCACCAAGAAAGCTGTGGTAGACTTTGTGCACTCCAATCTCATTTGCCGCTTTGGCATTCCTGCAACTATCATTACCGACAATGCTACAAATTTGAACAGTCGTCTGATGGGAGAGGTATGTGAACAATTCAAGATAACGCATAGAAACTCTACTCCTTATCGGCCAAAAGCCAACGGTGCTGTTGAAGCAGCAAATAAGAACATCAAGAAGATTTTGAGAAAGATGATTCAAAGCTCCAGGCAATGGCATGAAAAGCTACCTTTCGCATTACTCGGGTATCGTACCACAGTGCGAACATCAATTGGAGCGACAACGTACTTGTTGTTACGGTACTGAAGCTGTCATACCTGCAGAAGTAGAAATTCCTTCACTCCGAATAATTGTTGAAGCGGAGATTGAGGACAGTGAGTGGGTTAAGACCCGGCTAGAGCAATTGTCATTAATTGATGAAAAACGAATGGCCGCAGTTTGTCATGGGCAGTTATACCAACAAAGAATGGCCCGCGCTTATAACAAGAAAGTGCGTCCCAGGAATTTTGAAGTTGGACAGCTAGTACTCAGACGCATTCTCCCTCATCACCAGGAAGCAAAAGGAAAGTTTGCCCCTAATTGGAAAGGTCCATACATAATCCGAAAGATATTGCCAAGAGGAGCACTGTATCTGGGAGACATTGAAGGAAATGACCCTGAAACAGCAGTCAATGCAGATGCAGTCAAAAGGTACTATGTCTAGGCCTCCTGCGATGATGGCTTTTGTGCAATTGAGATGACGAAGGCTTTCCTTCTCGCTACCCAAATACTATCAACCCTTCGTAAACCCTTTGAGCCGGTTATGCTTCTTTGGCTACCCTCTTTGGAACCCGAAAAAACAAAAACAAAAAAAAGAAATATGATGAAAAGAAAAAAGGAAAAAAAGAAAAAGAAAAGAAAAACAAAACAAAAACAAAGAAAATTGTTCCCCTAAACTACGTTTGACTTGATTCCGAAAGGATACGTAGGCAGCCTTTCTCTGGGGTTCAGTCACACCAAAACAAAAATCCCAATTTCCCCAAAAAATGAAACTGGGGCAGATGATATGATGGTTCGGCCATGAATCCGCCGAAACGGTTCCAAAGTTGTAGTTCTGCCCAAAGTCCTTTTACCCCAAAACCTTGTCCAAGTCCTTCCGATCAATTGACAAAGGCATGGAAGTGGCAAACGTCATTGTTGGAATCTGATATAATGCAAATTGAGAGAAATAAAATGAGAGAGTCTTATCGGTGAAAACCTTCTGGCACCATAAGGCGATGGTGAGTAGAGAAACTAAAAATGAGAGAGTCCGCTTAGTGAAAACTCGCAAAGAGCACTATCGGGCGACGGTGAGAAGAGAAATGAGAGAGGTCGATTGGCGAAAACCCGCAAAGGGCGCTGTCGGCCGAAAGAAGACATCTCATCACTAGAAGAGTCCTGGCAAGGTTCCTTGGTTTTGAAATGCGGATCAATGGGTTCACGGGAGGTTGGAAAGTTTGTGTGGGTCGGGCGTCCAGTCCAAGAAGCATGTCACGTTCATTTGAAGCCAGCATGCACCCCAGATAAGTCCTTCTTTTCCCCCGAAAGGGACGCTTCTCCTTAAAATCATATGCTTGCCTTTTGCATACTTTTTCTTTGAATCCCTTTTGATTTAACTCTGATTCCGTAACTATTACAAAGAAAAGGTGGCAGGACCGGCTTCACAGGGCTCCGCCTGGTCAGAGTCGAAGAAAATACCCAGCCTCAGCGAGTGCGTCAGGCCAGTCCCGACTGACCATAGTGGTTGATGCTTTCGAAGCAAAGACATTGGAAAAGAAAGAAAATCAAAGGCAAGGGCAGAATAAAGTGAAAAGGCCAGAGCCCACACGGGCAAGCCATAATGAAATCATGAGAGCTGGACCCGGTCGGTTTGAAAAGAGACTCACCCTCAAGGCAAACGAGCAGCAAAGTTCTCAGCGGAAATGGGGCCGGGATTAAGAAATTGAGATGATCAAGGCCACAAAACCAACCACCGTTTCAAACTAACAAATTGTTCTTTGTTGAAAACAGGTCCAATTCAAAGCAACCGTCTAAGAAGCAGGTGCAATCAAAAAGAAATGAAATGCGCAAGTACTGAAACAGCTTTGCAGCAGGAAAACGACCAAAAAGGAAGTTTCCCCCCAAATTCTTTCATGCGTTTTGCTAAATAAAAGGAAAACATATAAAGAAAAAAAAAAAAAAAGGAAGAAAATAAATAAAAATGAAAATCCCAAAAGAAAAACAGATCATGGTAGCGTAGGATCCCATTCCTTAAATATCCCGGCCAGAAACCGAGGATCTCCCGGCAAAAACCGAGGAGCTTTTTCTTTCCAAATCCCGGCCAAAAACCGAGGATCTCCCTAGCATAACCCAAGGAGCTTTTTCTTTCCAAATCCCGGTCAAAAAACCGAGGATCTCCCGGCCAAAAAACCGAGGAGCTTTTTCTTTCCAAATCCCGGCCAAANATCGTAGTTTGCTTTAGGTTGACCTTAAAAT